AAGTACTAATTCATAATTTCATATCCGGTCACATGGGCAGCAAGCCATTCCCACAAAGGAGGCCACACCCACAGAGTAGGTTTGAACAATTTTTGAAACCCACCACTGTTAAAGGCCTATTAAACTTAAAAAGGAAAATCAGTTTGATGTAATGATTGAGGATAGAAACAAGAGACTGTGAATTCCAGTACTGTCTTAGGCATGAAGTCATCTGAGAGCTTTGGGGTAGTCACTCTTTCCTAGCCTTCGGAATGAGAAGCAATGGCAATAGCAAACCACTTCTCAAAAACCTTGCCAAGAAACCTGCAGGGACTTGTCCAGGGCACGCACGCACATGCACATGCGTGTGCGCACACACACACACACACACACACAGACAAAGGTCAGGAAATTATTTTTTAATGGCGGTCATGAACAGATTTAGTTGTAAAAAAGTTTAAATCAACATTAACTATGATTTCTAAAATATTAATGTTGATAAACATAAAGTTGATTAGATTTTATATTTCTTATTGAGGTTTTTTTGAGATTATACCTAGTAAGAAGGTTGTTATTTCATTTTGAATTTAAGTTTTCTGCATTGTACCATGCATATCTTTCCAGTACTTTTGATTTTTTTTAAATGTGTCTACCACTTTTGGTAATTTTTTCTTCTGTTTCCAGGCATTTCAATTGTCTATTATTGTATGTTTTCTTTATCGTGGAAATTATTGAGGGTGTTGTATACCAAGTATAAAACATTTGGTACTAACTTTCTTCCAGATTATAAAAGAAAGCTTGGGGTTAATTTTATGGAATTGGTGATATTATGGATGTTGCAATATAATTAAATCTATGTAATCTGACAAGAGTCATTAAAGTTGGTGGTATACAAATAATTGTAATATATAAATAATAAGAGCTAAGCTCAATTGTCATTCAAATTAGTCAGAAGCAAACTTCTGGAATCTTTTATATGAAATGTTTGAATTGTATCTTTATTTTCTTGTTTTAATCATAGGGTGATAGGGGAAGACCTGGATTAAGTGCACCTGGTCCCAGGGGAGCCCGGGTATGTTTTTATGGTGTGGTATATTTATATTAATTCTTAACATAAAGAGCTTCCCAGAACAAAGCAGAAGCACTATTAGAAAAGTTCATTTGTGGAAAAATCCATGAGAAAGTCTCTTCTCTGTCTTTTATTCACCTACTTATATTTTTAATCCTTCCAAGAACAGCGGTTTCCTCGCTGGTTTAGAAACCAAAAATCTCTCTCTTTGGAAAGGCAGAGAGAGTCATTTACATTTACATCCTCCTCTTCTGAACTTCTTAGAATGTTCCTGCAAACATGCAGGAGCACGGTTTTCTGACAGTTTCAGGAAATGCTGCCAAATTTAAAGCTGTAAAAACAATATCCTTGTGAGCATATTTATTGTAAAAGATAAAAACACAAGAGAGGCCTTATCCTTCTTTTAACATTTACTAAAATAAACAGAGCCACCCCTCCCCCGCTGCCTTCCAATATTTTCTAAAGAAATTAGTCTCCTTTTCCCATCTCTTTTGCTCACGTCATGGATAAGTGAAAGAAATGGTGTGAAAAATATAGCAAAGCATTGATTAAAAACATACAACAGAAAATAATTTTCTAATTAAGCAGTTTTACAATGATTTTCCTTTACAAGTAGATGAAAGAATTATCTTTGCAACAGATTATTTTAAATGCAGATCCATTTTAAAAAATGCAAAAAAATTAATACTTAAATGAAAGAGCAATTAAGAAAATGTTTTATATACAACTAGCATACTGTATACTTTAAACTTTTATTGTGAGGTACAGAATATATTTTTGAATGTTTAAGCCATATACATTCAATTCAATGTCCATTGACAGAGAAAACATCGACAGACCATATTTAGCCATAATAGGTACATTGTATGTTATGTGAACCAAGCAAATTGTGTCTTATTCAATGATTATTAACTATGATTTAATATGTTGTGATGTATTCAGTTTTTTGAAATATTGTTCATCAGATTTTACTACTCTCATTCTTCGTTTCTCTGTTAACTAATCTAATGATTTAATTTATTGATCACCATATGAAATTTTATGCTATACTTTCTTATATTTGAACAAATCTATGGCAAGACAAAATGAAAACTGGGACACTTTTCTCTCTTTCTAGGGTGACAAAGGTGAAAAGGGTCATCCAGGCCCAGAGGTATTGTACACTTATGTACTTGCTTTTGCTAATAAATTGGACATTAGGTGATGTCATGTTATTTTCCTTCATTTGTTGAGGAACTGATCCCAGAAGCAGCTATTCCATAGTGGAATTGCTCTGGGGTCTCTTGAGTTGCCAGTAGCAACTCAAGCCACAAGATTAATACCAGTATTTCTCTGCCCAGCAACTTTAAGAGGTGTGGACTTCACCTTTCAGCAACCACCTCCTGCTGAGATGTTCTTCTCACAAACTTCTTTTTATTTCCATTTAGCTTAAGCCCTTAACTGAATCAGGCAGAACCTTCTTTCTGAAGGAATAATAGAGGAAAATGAGGTATTGAGAAGAAAATAGTGAGCTGTAGAGGAAAATACAAAACAAACTCTTCTTTATACCATTTTTGAGACAGGGTGCAAGAGGTGACCTTGGACCAAAAGGACTTAAAGGGAAAAAAGGAGATCCAGGTGATGATGTAAGTAGACTCTTGATCTTACATTCTCTAAACTGTTTAATAACTTTCACCATTTGAAGACTAATTTAATATTCTGATTTAAAAAGCATTTGCTGTGTGCTCTTCCACTGCTCTTTAGCTTATCATGGGTTTAGCTAATGATAAGCTAATATTTCATAATAGTAAACTCATATCTTTTATAAACTTACAGCTTCTCTCATAGGCTTTAAATTATACTGTTGCCCACGTAATCTTAAGAATTAGAACATCCCTTATATCTCATATATAATTGAATTTACCCTTATAATTATTGTATTGTATGTAGATAATATGTATATCATATACTTATGACAAGGAGATTTAAACACCAGAGAGCTTGTGGTTCCAGATTTCTCAGGCCTTTGGTTAAAATACAGTTGCAAATTTTACTGGGGTACTATGTATGTTTCCTGCAATGGTTATAATATTTGAAGCCTGTTGGATTTTCTCAGAATTCTTTAATGAAGTATAGATTAGAAACCTAATTTAAATGTTGTACTGGTTCGGAACTGTTTGCCTCCTTGGTTCCATTTCTGCTTAGGGCTGAAATGATCTTACAAGGGTTTTTAAAAACACTGCAAATGATGTGTATGTGTGAGAGAGAGAATGAGGGGGGAGGGGCAGAGAGAGAAATAATTATATACCCAGAGAGTTATAAATCCCCTTTAAACCCTCTTTGAAACAATATAATCTGTATCCAAAGAGCTGTCATTCATTTTCTGTACTCTTCAGTAAAACCTTCTTCATTCACTCCTTTAACTGCATTCCTCTGTCTCTCTAGGGAGGTGTCGGCCTTCCAGGTCCGCCTGGATCCAGAGGAACAGATGGTGAACCTGGACCCGAGGTATTATAGTTGTGCATCAGGTTGGATATTATTGCATGGCTCCCTTCCCTTGGGGTGAGGCATTTGAGCAATCCCAAACCAGAGAAGCAGGAGGCAAAAGAAATGACTACCTTGATATCCCCAGTAATGTGCCTTTGTCCCTAAGATAGGAAGAAAGTATGTCACTTTCTAAGCTCTGACAGCAGTCCATTTACTTTATGTCTGCAGAGAGGTTGGTAATGGTGCTGCCAGCACTGCAAGTAACATCCATTACTTACTGTAGGCTGTAAAAAAAAAAGCAGACCAGGTAGAGATGTCCTTTCCCCTTTTATTTAGTGCTTACCTCAGGATTTCAAGGAGAAGAATTTGTATGCTGAGCCCCCCTCCCCCATTTCCTTGTCCTTTGAACACAAAGTTGCATCAGAAGCACTCTGACATTTTGTCATATTTCTATTGCTCTGTTCCTATTTATATCTAATTTATTCCCAACAACTATTTTTGCCTCTACCAAAACACATTCAGTCCCTCAATCAAAACCATCTCATTACTCTCATATCTGCTACTGTCTCTCATTCAGGCCTTTGTATAAAAAATAATCAAATCAGTGAGACTTTTAAATCTATCTGTTTGCTATGTATACACAGAAATAGATTTATGCTTAAACCGCATGTTCGTGTTCAAAGCAAATAAACCTTTTCCTAAGTTATTTATCAGCAAACTGTGACATCATTCACAATCATTCTTAAGCCTCTGAATGATGAATTTTTATACATGCCATGATACATTTTCTATGCTCTCCTGCCTTAATTCTACTTATTTAAAGCAACACTTATATTTCCAAAAGCTAGTGAATATTAAAATATATTGCAAGTGGATATATTATTTTTCTTACATCCTGAAACCTCTGAAAGGTGGATTCCATCATCTTCTTTTCTAGGGTGATCCTGGTCCTCCTGGAGATCCTGGCCTAACTGTAAGTCAAGAACATTTCTTATAATGCATGCTCACTTTGGTCACTTTGCTGCCTGTCTTGTATCAGTGATAATTTGTTGTGAGCTATGAAAAAGCACAGCAAATGCTGCTTCACACTATTTGGCATAATATAAATTATAATCAGAAGCTGATTTTGTTTGATATACATCTTAATGCATGTACTCTCTTATCATGTTTTGTTGAAGATAGGCAGATATTTGTGGACTTATAGTCTTACAATAATGGAACATTGGAATGCACATTACAGTATAATATTTATAATAATCTGCTGATGTCCATGTATCTCTTGCATGCATAATAATTGCTGTTGTTGTCATTGATAGGACTGCGATGTGATGACCTACATCAGAGAGACCTGTGGCTGCTGTGGTTTGTTCGGAGTCTTTGCATGATCTTCATTTAGAGCAGAAGGGGTCACTGAGAAGGGAGAAATTATACCATTTTGATAGAGGAAAGTTGCCATCATATCATAGTGTTCTTCAGTTATTTAATGGCTAGGCTAATTTTTGACAGTTTAGGGTAGGACTAATAGCCCTTACATCAAAAGAATTTGCAGAACTGTAGATGACTCTAAGCAGTAGATTTGTTTTTAATTAATTGCAAATAGGCAGAAATAGTCACAGTTACCATGGATGTGTGCCTAATGTAGGAAATAACTCAGAAGGATATTATTTATTTGTTTTGTTGTTACTTTAAAATTATTGGCCATTAACTTAGAAAGGATGCATTTGGAAGTGAAAGAATATACTTTTACTTTTTTTTCTGGGATCTGAACTGACATCATTATTCACTCTGAACTAACAGTGACTGACCAAGCTACTTAATTAATGCGATCCAGCATTTAGCTGTACCAGGAGCTTAAGCTTCCAAATGCCAAGCTTTAGACTATGTTGGAAGGGACAGTTTAGAAGCACAGCTTTGCCTGGAGACACATGGCCTGGATAATCTATGGTATTGCCTGACTTTCTGCATTTTGTATTCTAGTGCCCTTGCATCACTATCTCTCACCATTCTTATTAGTCATGTTGGCTGGGGGGAATAGGGGGAACAGGCCAACATATTTAGAGAATACCAGGTTGGGGAAAGCTAGTTTAGCAACCACTCAAAATGTTAGCTCCTGGTTTGTTCACATGTGCAATATTCAAATAGGCTTCAGGAGACTCCATACTTTAAAATACTTCTCAGTTATTTGCAGTGCATTATTGTTATAGTTCTGGACTCATTTTATGGTGGTACTCCTTACTATTTTGTCTTCCTTTTTCATAGATTGTGAGAAGCGGTGTGGTCCATTGGACATTGTCTTCGTCATAGACAGTTCAGAGAGTATCGGCTACACCAACTTTTCCCTGGAGAAAAATTTTGTTATCAATGTGGTGAGCAGGCTAGGGTCCATTGCCAAAGATCCAAAATCTGAGACAGGTCAGTAACTGACGATTTCTTCTTACAGCTGAATATTCTCCATAGCTGCAATGATCTCCGATACGTGTATGATGAAATATACTTTTTTACTCGCTAATTAATTGCAACATAGGAAGCAATATCTGACCCATGTCACTATTACAAATATTTGCTATCTTGTCCCACAAGTATTCCACACTGGTCTAATTTTAAAAAAAGATATATAGAAAAATCTGTATTTGGACTCAGTTTTCTCTAACATATCCACAGACCTTTCTGATCAACCTCTATGTGCATTGGAAACTTCATTGGAGTAGTTGGTTTTCTACTTAGTGCTGCTCTTAAGGGAAGGATGATACAATAGAAGAGCCTCCAGTGGTGTCATCAATACAAAGAAGATCCAAAATGTCCTTTTAGGTCTGTTCTAGAGGGCAATATCAATGGCAACTGATGTCTTTGTGGTCGCCATATGAGATATGAGATTATGTCAGTGTCAATTGTTATTTGACTTGGGAACCATCCCTTTCCCTAAAGATGAAAAATGATACTTTTTCTGAGCATTATTTTACAGAAACTGTAGTAATGATCTCTAAAAATGATTTCAAATCATTGGCCCAGTACATATGTGAATCTGCATTCAAACAGGCTGGGGGTTAGAGATCACTGTGATGAAGGGGAAATAGAATATCAAAATCTAGGAATTATAACTGAGCTTATTTTCCTGGCAGGTGCCCGTGTTGGAGTGGTACAGTACAGTCATAAGGGAACCTTTGAAGCCATCCAGCTCAATGATAAGCGCATTGACTCACTCTCTACTTTCAAAGAAGCAGTGAAAAAATTGGAATGGATTGCAGGGGGCACCTGGACTCCCTCTGCACTTCAGTTTGCCTATGAAACACTCATCAAAGAAAGCCGGAGAGATAAAGCCCGGGTGTTTGCTGTGGTGGTGACTGATGGACGTCATGACCCTCGAGATAATGATTCAAACTTACAAGCCCTCTGTGATGGAAATGTTGTGGTCAATGCCATTGGGATTGGAGACATGTTCAATGTAGATGAAGAATCGGAGACGCTGAAAGCAATTGCTTGTAGTGACCAAGGCAGAGTCCAAAGAATGAAAGTATTCACTGATTTAGTGGCTGAAGAGTTCCTTGACAAAATAGAGATTGAACTCTGTCCAGGTTAGTCAATACAAGCTTCGCTAAAGCTAATTGCAAGAAAGTAATATGGCATGTCGTAGTTTTCATATATTTGGGCTAAGTATTATGTTCATGGCATCTCCATTTTAAAAAGTAGCAAGGTCTACTGCTGGGATGGCGAACTTATGGCACGCATGCCACAGGTGGCATGCAGAGCCATTTGTCAGGGCATGCGAAGCGTTGCCCTGTCAGCTGGCCAGCTGACTTCAGCCTTTTTTTTAAAGCCATTTTTCACCCTCCCCAGGCTCCAGAGGCCTGGGAAGGGTAAAAAACGCCTCCCTGAAGCTTCCGGAGCACAAAAAACCTACCCTATTCAGGAACAGACTTCTGGTTTGCTCGTAGTGCTGATTTTGGCCCTCCGGAGCCTTCAGGGGTCTTCTGCAGGCTTCCCTGAAGGCTCTGGAGGACTAAAAATGGCCTTATGGACAAACCAGGACTTCCGGTTTGCTCGTAGGGTCGTTTTTTGCCCTCTGGAGGCTTCAGGAGCTTCCGGAGGGCCTCTGGGGGGGCTGTTTTCCCCCTCCCCAGGCTCCTATAAAGCCTCTGTAGCCTGGGGAGGGTGAAAAAAGCATGTAAAAAATGGGAGGAGCACTAGTCATGCACACATGCATGCTCGGGGTCATGCCTTGCATTATGGGTGTGGCACGCCCTCGCACAACCTCCCTGCGCTCCCCCCGCTTTTGGCACGCGAGCCAAAAAACGTTCGTCATCGCTGGTCTAGTGATATTCAGAATTGGAAGGAATGGCCAGTAGGGATTGCTCTGGTCCAGCACTGAGGCTTTCGCTTTCAAATATTGACTGAAAGTTTAAATCATAGTTTGTGTGGGAGAAAATTGCATTGTTTCAATAAGATAATGTTCATACCCAACTGCATTCATAGTTCACTATGAAGAAAACTGCATTTGCTAATGCAGTTTAATTAAGAAGGCCTGTGCAGCACAAAGCACAGACTCACCATATTTTGTACCCACTAGTAAAGTCTTAAAGGACAGTTTTCAAAGATTGATCAATGTAGTCATTGCCAATCTTAGTGAGTCTGAATACCAATTCTACACTTATTAGGCTATCATCCTTAATGAAAATGAGGTTCAATTGGTTTGTTGTTAACAATGGAGTATTCTCTTAATCCCTTTGCTTCACTTTCATGCCAAAGGGGGAAAAGTTCCTAGGGTGACATGTCATTATCCCTCCATGGAAGATCATTTTGAACCATAAATGGCCCAAGAAAAAAGAATTAATTAGCTTCTCTTTGTTGCACTAGTTTAAAACTTAATATTTTCAATATCCTGCCTAATTGTTGATATGTATACATAGCATACATAGCATACTGTTGTAGTTGTAAGCTAAATGTGATCTGAATGATGTCCATCAAATATTTTTTTACTCTTTTTTCAGATCCTCAGATTGTCTGCCCTGAACTGCCCTGCCAAACAGGTAAAAAAAATTATTTGAACTATGATCCTCTTTTCCCTTCTATTCCAATTTAACTGTAGTATGTAAAATAATTCTGAGCTAAAGAAAGAATAGGTGTTCTAACTCATATTTTACATCATTTCTAAATGTTATTCCTTCTTAATGTTTAATTCTGCAGGTAGGTACATTCTTGTATTATAGCTATTCTGCTTTACGGATGTGTTGTAAATATCCCGTTTTCTCAAACAGTAGTTTCTCAAAGCATAAAAACCTCTTCTGACAGGCCCCTTTTGAGAATAGCAACCTAATCTTGGTGCAGAGACTAACCATAAGAAAGCAAAGGTCTTAATAGAAGCACTTGGGGGAAGTGCACTTGCCATTAATCATCAGTGATCAAATGCTGGTTTATGTTTTGACACATTTAAAACTGGTTAAATCCTGATGCTGACAATTCTAATCAGTAACCCTAATGCAGAAACTGAACTCTTGATCAATGCATATAAAGTAACTCTGGGCTCTAAAGTTGAGGACAAATTTCTGATATTTCAGGAATTTCCTCAATAATTTTTACATTAGGTTCTTCATTTCTCCCTTGTTGGTACATGAAATATGCCATCTTCTTTTGTCTTACTACGTGATTAGCTAAATTAGTTTACATAAACATGTCATCTTCCAAGATAGAAAGTCCAAAATGGCTCATAAAGTAAAATATAGAAACATTAAATATTACAATCAGTAAAAGTAATTAATAATAAAATATCATTTCAACTTAATACTTGCTGTTCCATAAAATGCAGCTCCTAAGGGATGAGGATAATGATGGGGCTTAATAACTTCAATTGGTATTATGTTGTAGAAATGTGCAGAAAAGGCTCTTTCTCCCACAACTCACCATTCTGACTGCTGTCAGAAACAGAAGTACCTCCACTGCAGGTAGTAAAGTGATGCAGCTGTAATGCTGAGGCTATCAATTCAACTGAAGCATTCATTACTTCTAAGTGAAAAATGCATTCTAATTTATATTCAGAGATACATTGCTAACCATTGCAACTTGGCAATGTATGTATCATATGAGTAACTTTCTAATTCCCAGCAATATCTCTATGATGCCTTCATGCAAAAGCTACAGATTCTGACTTGGATATCACTAGTGCATGGGTGACTTAAATCTATTCTTTCCAGATAGGTGACACACTAATCTATATTGGTAAAATGCTGCCATTTATCTTTCCTAAATCATAAGGGCTCCCAATTTGTAAATTGTGTGTGTTAGAGAGAATGCTACCATATGTATGAAAAGTTTTGATTGATCTCTTTATTTGAAGCATTTCTAATGTGAATTCAGTTTTAACTTGCTACATCCATCCATCTGACCATCCATCCATCCTTCCATTCCTCGAAAAATTGCCTCCTAATTAATTAATGCCCTGTGAGATCCACTCAGCAGGATACCTTGATTGAGTTCACCTTTCCACTGCTGGGTAACAGCACAGGAGTCTCTATTTCAATGTCATTCTTCCTCTGTCTCTCTTTCTCAACAACATTAATAAGGAAGAAACCTCCAAGTGTTGATTTAGAAATTGCATAGCTTCCCTCAAATGTATGTGATTTGGTTCTTTTTTAAGTTTGGTAAAATAGTTTCTTATTTATCAATATATATATATTAAAATTACACAGCTATCAACAAATTAGAATAAAAATAATCAAGACTTCAAATAATTAAATAAAAAGATATTAATACTGAAGTGATGTAAGGTTGTACATCACTCTTAAATCTTCCCTTCAAAATGATAATCCAATTTCACTGACAACTTGAATATCACTGTTTAGAACAAATGTCTTTGAATTGCTTTCCAGTGTTTAGCAGTGATTTTTTCCAAAATCAATTTAAAAGAGTTATTCTGCTTACTATCCTGCAGTTTATGTTCTATGACAGGGATGTCAAACTCAAAGCCCGTGGGCTGGATCTGGCCCATGAAATGCTTAGATCTGGCCCACAGGACCACCCTGGAAATAGAGAAGTACTTCTGCCAGAGAAAATGGAGCTTGGGGGGCAGGGCGCGCATGGCCTCCCAGGCTCCATTTTGGACCGTGGTGGCCTCCTGCAGCCCTCTGCCAGAAAAACCAGAGCTTGAGGGGCTGCATTCGGAAGGAAGGGAGGGAGGCAAGAAGGAAGGAGAAGAAAGAGGGAAGGAAAAAGAAGGGAGGAAGAAAGGAAGGAAGGTCCTGCCTTAGCACTTGGCCACCAGCAGCCCTGCTGCCCTTTTGCCATCCTTTTGTCTCCTTCTCTCCTGGTGGTCTCCTACCCTATCACCAAGGATGCTTTGGTTACAAAGCCTAGTCTCCTTGTATGAAGAGGAAGTTGGCCTCCCTCTGACCCACACACTTTGCCCTCCTGCACACACCATGAACAACCTGGCCAAGGAGAGAGAGAAGAGCAGCAGCAGCAGGAGGTAAATGCAGGCAGGCATCCCCTCAGGGAAGTGGGGCTGGGCTGTGGGGTCCTGGTGTCCTCGGAGTTTGAGGGCCAGGCTGGGTGTTGCCCTCTGCTGCCTAAGGCTCTGGACAGCCTGCATCCTCTTCCGGGGGTTCTCCATATGGCCTGAAAGACTCCTCTGGAGGACAAGGGCTTGGCAATCTCCCTGGTCTCGCTTTCCTAGCTGAAGACAATTGATCCCCCCAGCTCCGCCCGGGCTATCACAGGTGCCCCTGACAAGTGATGTTGAGTGGCCATGCCCGCTCTGGCCACCCTACCCCCGCCATGCCAACCCAGCCCCCTGAAGTGAAATACAACCCTGATGCAGCCCTCAATCAAATCAATTTTGATAGTCCCAGTTTAAAGCTGGGATACAAGTCTCTTACTGTACTTCCATTCTGGGTATTTTTCGTATAAATCTGACCATGACTTTGTTTTCACATTCTCCTCCAAATCCTGGTCTTGTTAGATGGTATAGACCTTATGTATCTGCTCAAAATACATTTTCAAAGTTATTGGATTCTCAGGCAATGCAACCTGATATTGTTCCAGTTTTGCATTATCTCTTCAACAATGCCTGATTACTGTCCTTATAATTATTGCTTTAAAATGGGATATGATATCATTATTGTCTGAATTCCAGTGAATTTGTCCTAATCTTTCCAGAGACCAATCTTAGCATTGCTGCCTCTGAAAATGTTCCACCTTTTATTGACTTTGCTGTACGTTTTGTTAGCTCCCATTTCCCTAAATATTCAAAGTTGGAATTTGTATGCCAGAAATCTTTAATAATACACCATAAATCATTAATATTGCTCCTTTGCTATTTTCCTTTGTTCAAGAGTAATTGTTTCAAAGACCGTAAGAGAAGACAAATTTCCTTCATGTCTTCATTTAAAGGAATGGTAGAACTTGTACATATTGTAGTAAGCTTAGTCCTAAAGTACTGGATCTCCATCTCTTTTTTATTTTTTATAATTTTTTATTTTAAACACATAAACACATCAACAAAAACAAACACATGACTTAAGACAACATAGGAACAATAAGTTCCATCATATATCATACAACAGTTCCGTATCAGTTTCTTTGCAGTTAGTGTTTT